GTGTGTTACTTCGTGTGTCTCTGTGTGTGCCTGCGTGTGTGTCACTGTGTGTGTGTCACTGAGTGTGTGTCACCGCATGTGTGTGCCTACGTGTGTGTCACTGCGTGTCACAGCATGTGTGTCACTGTGTGTGTGTAACTTGTGTGTGAGTGCCAGTGTGTGTGTGTGTGTGTGCCACTGTGTGTGTGTGAAGATAAAATTTGCCAGAAAACACTACTCATTTAGTCAGTTTATCAGCTGACAGGCTTGATTCTCTGTGGCAGCATAATAATAATAATATTAATAATAATAATAAATATCAATTACACACATAATGCACATTCTTTGAGTTTTCAGAGCTCGTAAACATAACATTTTAGTATAGTTTATAAATAATTTTAGTATAAAAATAAAAACAAAATAAGTTTTTTAATAATCAAACATTTCATTTTAAACAGTGTTATTTATCTTACCAATTTGTGGCACTGTGTCCCGTGCAGCTTTGTTTCCTAAAATGACTGCTCCATCCCCAAACAAAAGGCTACACCCACTTCAGCCCATCATTTTATTGAACAGACATGTCAGGTGATATTATATGTATATATTTTTTTATTTAAAAAATTAAAGGGGTGTCAGGTCCAAAAAAGTGGTTCGTTGCCTGAGGGCTGTGCCACTGTGTGTGTCACTGTGTGTGTGCAACTGTGTGTGTGTCACTGTGTGCCACTGTGTGTGTCACTGTGTGTGTGTCACTGCATGTGTGTCACTGTTTGTGTGCCACTGTGTGTGTGTCACTGTGTGTGTAACTGTGTGTGTCACTGTGTGGGTCACTGTGTGTGTCGCTGCGTGTGTGTCGCTGCGTGTGTGTCGCTGCGTGTGGCACTGCGTGTGTCACTATGTGTCCATTTTATTGAACAGACATGTCAGGTAATATTATTTGTATACATAGGTCCAAAAACGTGGTCTGTTGGGCAACACTATGCCATAGAGGGTTAAGGTACAAAACATGTAATCTAATTAAATATGTTACAAATTACTTTTTAAAGTGTGTATTTTGTAATCTGTAGTGAAATACATTTTTAAAGTAACCTTCCCAACCCTATATGAGCAATATAACATTCGTTGCCATGAGATATGGCTGTATATTGGCACGGCTGTGATTCGCCCGTAGGTAATCACAGTGTGCCGATATACAGCCATATCTCATGGCTACGAGTGTGATATTGTGCGTTTACAACTGTTCGACGGCACAAGTGTGTTAGGGATCCACCGATACCACTTTTTCCAGTACTTGGCCGATACCGATACTTTTATTTTTGGAACCTACGATATCGAGTACCGATACTTGTATTTTCATTGTATTTATAATTTTTTTAAATATTGGGTACAGAAACCAAAAGAATATGTATAATGTTTGTTGGTTAACTTCATTTATCAAATAGATAGGCCTAGCTCACCCAAAAATTTAAATTCTGTCATTAATTACTGACTCTCATGTTGTTCCAAACCCGTAAGACCATCATTCATCTTCGGAACACAAATTAAGATATTTTGATGGAATCTGAGAGCTCTCTGACCCTCCAGAGACAGCAAGAATATTACCACGATCAAGGCACAGAAACGTAATAAGGACATCGGTAAAATAGTCCATGTGACATCAGTGGTTAAACCGTAATTTTACGAAGCTACGAGAATACTTTTTGTGCGCCAAGAAAGCAATATTAACATAATTTATTCAGCAATCCTTCTCTCCGAGTTACCGTCTTCCGCCATTTTGGAGAGTACCCCAGAACGTAATCAGCATTGTTTACGTTCAGCATGCGCGCACATTCTACTGAACGTGAACAAAGCTGATTATGTTGATTACGTTCTGTGGTACTCTCCAAAATGGCGGAAGATGGTAACTCAAGGAGAAGAATTGTTGAATAAATTATGTTATTATTGTTTTCTTTGCGCAAAAAATATTCTCGTTGCTTCGTAAAATTACGGTTGAACCCCTGATGTCACATGGACTATTTTACCGATGTCCTTGCTACGTTTCTGTGCCTTGATCGTGATAGTATCCTTGCTGTCTATGGAGGATCAGAGCGCTCTCAGATTTCAACAAAAATATCTTAATTTGTGTTTCGAAGATGAACAAAGGTCTTACGGGTTTGGAATGACATGAGTAATTAATGACAGAATTTTTATTTTTGGGTGAACTAACCCTTTAAACATGTATTAAAATGGACAACAGTTCTTTTAAATTGTTGTAACACAGACACACACACACACACACACACACACACACACACACAGTGATTATTAAACCTAATTATTAAGCCCGTGCCCCCGGTATGCTTTTTATCAGAACAACATGACATCACTGTCAGTCTGTGCATAAACATTGCTTTTACGTGCTACCGTGCTGTTGCCAGCGTTTAGCAGGAAGTGCTTCCTCAGACCTACTTTATTCCAAGTAGGGCCCCCCGGAAGCTTTGGTATAATTTGAAGACCGCTTGAGGTGACAGATGAGCTCTTCAGCCAAGACTGTTGCAGAATAATGCAGAAGACGTCACGTGTGTCTTACGCATGAATCCTGAAATAACAGTCCCAGGCCCTAAGTATGGTTTCACTGCATCACATCTAATAGTTTAGGCATAATACTCTGCTAATCCTGAACTCCTTTCTTTTTTTCCCATCTTTTCACTGCCCTATTTCTCTCTGTGCCCATTACATTAGAGAGCTCCTACCTTTCCCACCTCCCCCACTCCCCTCGAAGCTTCTGCTCATGTCTGCTGGCTTAATGAAACGAGACTGTTATTGGAATGTATTAGGCCAGGCTCGGTCCGATCCAGGCAGCCGGCACGGATGCATTTCCAGACTGTCATGCTTACTTTCATGAACAGAGCATCATCAATGGACTTAAGGATTTATCTTCTGATTGCTTTCAGATGGCAAGGTGGAGGTGACAAAGGAAGGCATGAAACTCTGCACCATGGGACCAGGGAAGGTGTTTGGAGAGCTCGCCATCCTCTACAACTGCACCAGGACTGCTACGGTACAGAGTGAGTGAGGAGAACACCGATGCACCTGCACATCCGCAACTGCAAATTATTAAAGGGGTCATTTCTCGAGGTTAGATAAAGTTAGCAAAGTTTTAGCGCCACAAAATGCCCAGTATTAGTAAATAGCACCATTTTCACTATCTTTGAAAAAAAAAGAACAAAAAAACAAACAAACAAAGAAACACTCAGTCTCAAAGGGTGTTAGCTCTTACAGAAATTGAAGTAAATTCCCACTGCTGTGATTGGCTAACTTCATTGTACCGGTTGCAAAACAATGTGTTGTGAAATGTGAAGAACGAAAGAAAACTTTAGGAAGGCTATTCAAAGTTTTTGGAGGGGCAGTTTCTTTACATCCACTGAGTTTGACGGAACAACATCTTTATCCAACAGCAGTATGACTCTTGACAAGAGTTGTTCAGAACACTCTTCCTTGATTACATACATACAATGACGGCACCAGTGTTGGGGAGTAACTAGTTACATGTAACAGAATTATGTAAGATAATTACAAAATAAATGTAACTGTAATCAGTTACAGTTACTGAGAAAAAATGTGTAATTAAATTACAGGTACTTATGAAAATGTTAACGATTACAAAGGAGGATTACATCTGAATATTTTCACACACACATACAGATTTGATTGATTTATTTCCCAAATTGCATTGACTGTTCTAAAATATAAGACTCCAGTGTTTTTAGAAATTTAGGACACAGAATAGGACACATGCTTATTTAATAACTGTTTTATTTCCTACCTGGGTTAATGTACATGCTTTAACAGATTAGACAATTTAGAAATGTAAATTTAGAAATGTAATCAAAAACAATCAGTTACATTACTTTAATAAAGTTATTAAAATAGTTACACTACTATTACATTTTTAATAGGGTAACTTGTAATCTGTAACTTATTACATTTCCAAAGTAACCTTCTCAACACTGGATGACACTTATTAAGGCACATATTAATTCTCTATTTCTTGACCACTTTAAAATTTTGTGTACCTTTTGTGCAAAATGTCAGTTACATATGAGCACATGCTTGCTTATGCAAATATACAAACATCCATGCATAAGCATGAAATGTACATAGAAAGACCCTTTCACTTCATAACTGCAAAGACAAACCAAAATCTGGAGTGAGTAACCATGGAAACACATACACTGTGTTGTCATCCTTAACTTAGCAAGAACAGCTACTCTCAGGAGGGAGTAACCATGGAAACCACACACACACACACACACACGCATTTCTGTTAGGGATATGTACTTATATGTACATATATGAAGTAGCCTAAATTCCTTTGCATACTGTTTCTGTCTGCGTCTCTTTAAATATTTGAATGCAAAACTGAAAATGAAATATAAGGCATGATAGTCTCATGATTTTATTGTTTTGTTTGCACAATAAATAATTCAAATATAGTCCTGTATTGCTCTCTTCATGTTTGACGAGGTTCATATGTCTTGTATTTCTAAAACAATACGACAAGCAAATTTGTATGCATGTCAGCCTGGCAAAATAATTTGCAAGCCTCGCTTAATTTAATTATCAAAACACACAATGCATAATGGCTCTGGTTCTTCCCCTGTTAAACCAGACACAGCACTGTGTTTTATTAGAAGATTATGTATTGTTTGTCTTGCTGTGTGATGGTACTTCAGTCTTTGCTAAACCACTGATCTTTCTTGTGTTTCGTCCTTGTTATTGACACTGGTAGGGATGTTAGCTTTGGTGTGTCTAGCGTGAAATAGTGTGATATATACCAACGATGGAAAGAGGTGAGTCAGAATCTCTGTGTCTCATCTGCATCTCTTAAGTGCAACAAATGCCAGGCCATTTCCTCAGATTTGAAGAGAGCCGCAAAGATGGGAAACAGCCACAAAGCCATTATTTTGTCATGATGAAGTACAATCTTCAGCATCTTATTTTTTTAGCTTTTTGGCTCCGAAACAAATGCAAATACTCCCCATCTCCCTCTCTCTCTCTCTCTCTCTCTCTCTCTCTCTCTCTCTCTCTCTCTTTCTTTCTGTGCAGCAAGCTTTTGCTTTATAAAATCTGATCAAAGTAATTTTTATTTAAATTTTTTTGCTGCTGGTTATGTTTTTTCATGTTCTTTCTTCTTTCACAACGTGATCTCATGATAATTCGTATGTATTTTACGTAAAATGTGGTTCTACAAAACATACGTTTACTTACGTTTTTACAGACACTAAAACGTACAATACTGACGTATGTACAGCATCTAAACGTACACATACGTATTTTCAGCATTTTAACGTACAATACTGATGTATTGACGACACCTAAAAATTAATCCTTATGAATATTCAAATTATTGAAATTGAAATTATTATTGTTTTCAGTTGTCATATCAATGGCATTATGTTTTCAATTGCATTATTAGATTGTTTACTCGTTTACTTAATATAAATGGATAATATTTCGTTCTGTTCTGTATGATTTCTACGGCCAGATTATTTCCAAGAATAGGCCTACATAATGTTAAACAAGACTACACTTTAAACCCTTAAAATTAATAACATTTCTGCAATCGTTTAACCATTACTTATCATGTAATATTTACTTTGTTTGCGATGGGACACGAAAGGCATTTTCTCCGACATGCTGTGACTGAAAATAGAACCATAAAATAAACCAAAAACGCAACAATTACTAAAGGAATCAATTTTGTTCATACACTGTAATCCGAATGTTTAAAATCCATATGATTTCGAGGAGCAGTCCCAAACTCAAGCCTTTATTCAGCGATCTCCATCCTGAGCAGCGACCGTAAGCATCAAAAACCTGACACACTTGTTAAATTCAAATGTTGCCACTTCAAGAGTTGACAGGTTTTACAGCAGGAAAAACAAAAACTCATTGGCTCTCGCCTGCTTCATCACTCATTGCGACATGCCGTGTTTCTGGTGAGGTGTGTTTGAATGAGAAATGCACACCTTCACAGAGTGGAGTTAATAATCTGGATAATATTTTCAATGATTAACAACTAAAATTCTGCTCTGCGGTTCACACAAACCTACTGTATTCCGTCAGAGAGGACTGTGGCTGCAACACATCGTCATTTGGACTGCTTTTGACACTTTTGCAATAAATAAACGATTTTGATTGCACTTATCTGTCCGTCATGTTTTTCTTATACTGTGCAGAAATAGTTATGGTTAGGTTTAGAGGCAGGAGTGGGTTTAGCGACTATAAAAATATCTTTTTAATGCTATATTATTACTAAAATGGTCATTTCCCTGCATATTTTGGTCAATTATGTTTTATATATTTTTATATTCGCTATAAAATGGGTAGGTTTAGGTTTGGGGGTAGGTTAAGGGGTCTAAAAATCTAAATCGTGTATCGATAAAATTATAAAAATGCATTGATACAAATAGCTTAATGATAGAAAAGATACGTAAATGTTTGACGTTTTTTAGCTAAAAATAGGTAGCGATTTGTACGAAATTTGTATGAAATACATCTAAATTGTACGTTTTAGTATCAATAAAAACAATATATATATATTGCTGTCAAATGATTAATTGCGATTAATCGCATCCAAAATAAAAGTTTCTGAATGATCATTGATCATTGCATACTATGTATATTTATTATACAAGCTAGAAAGAGAAGGAATAAATAAAGAGATAGATTTATTTATTTTTTTTTATGATGAAGTCAAGTACTTTCGAAAGAGATGGGTTTTCAGCTGTCGCTTGAAAATTGTCAGGGATATATATATACTATGTATGTTTATTGTTATTCTATTTTTTTCTGTAACTGAGCTTTCAAACATTGATTCATTTTAATATCTTTCGATGCTCCATACTTACAACAGTTATATAAATTTCATTCAATTTTAATTACTTAAATTGATGTCCAAATTGCAATTCTACATCCTGTTTGCTATCTTGATTCAAATTCAAATCAAATTCAGGAATTGCGGTGGATTGTTGGCAGCATTCTCAGTTCTCAGTTCAGTTCTGAATGGTGCATCACCCTGATGGCAACCAGCACATCCTAAAAGCAGAGAAAAAAGCAAGGAGAGAGATCAGGAGAGAGGTGAAAAATAATGACGCATAAATACGTCAAGGTGAGACCGAGCAAAACTGATTTAGCAGTGCTGAGGCTCTCCCTGGTGATCTCTGAGCTTACTGATCTCTACACACTGTCTAGTCGTAAACTACAAAGGGTGAGCTTCTCAGAGACGTGTGCTGTGAGTCTCTGCTGCATGAGAAGCACACTTATCACACCAAAAGTACAACAGATAGAGCTTAAACTATACATGTGTAACCCCTCTCCCCCGGGTCCTCTCCGCCACACCTCGTTCCGAGTGGGTCTCCGGCATGGGAGGCGGACGCACTAACAAGGAGGCTAAAGACTGCAGCCTCTAGCGTCAGTCGCTAGTGCGTCTCTTGAGATCAGGGGAGTGAGGTTTACCTGCACAGCACTTACTCGCTGGCCTCCGTTACACTCACCCCCCTAATCCTCACTCCCATCCGGGTCATGGCACCAATGTAACCCCTCTCCCCCGGGTCCTCTCCGCCACACCTCGTTCTGAGTGGGTCTCGAACCCTGGTCTCCGGCATGGGAGGCGGACGCACTAACAAGGAGGCTAAAGACTGCAGCCTCTAGCGTCAGTCGCTAGTGCGTCTCTTGAGATCAGGGGAGTGAGGTTTACCTGCACAGCACTTACTCGCTGGCCTCCGTTACACATGCATGATGATAACATTTACAAAAACATTATATAATAATGAAGCTATCATTGGCATGTGAGTCACAAAACATGTTTAATTTTTCTAACTAGCTCTGTTGGTGGCATTTCAGTAAACACACGACATCAGTACAACAGGGAAAAGAAGCGCTATCTGTCATTTACAATACCTCATCACAGTGCCCGCTGAGAGACCCAGATTCATGCAGTGTTCTTTAAAAGAAAGCTTAAAAGATTAGTTCACTCGAAAAGAAAATCCTGTCATCATTTACT